GTTCTCATCACCGACGCAAAAGCGTTGTACGACACCTACCACCGTGATGCCTTCAACCATGGGTCCAATGACAAACGGAGCGCTTTGGAGGTGAAGGTCACTCGACAGCAGGTCGAGAGCTTTGGTGGCAAGCTGAAATGGGCTTCTTCAGAACGCCAATATGGCGATGGCCTCGCAAAGCTGTCCGCCAGACAGTTGTATACGGGCCCCGTTTCGCGCCCCGCGCCGTGGCCATGGATTCCTGGCGATGATGTCGCTTTTCTTCGCGCCTCAAGCCGCTGCAACTGAGGTTTCCAAGCCGACCTCGAGCTTCACAGGCTGGTGGCCGACGCTACTGGCGGCGTTCCTGATCGCCCTTGTGATTGGATTCTTGATGGCCCGCCATTTTACTTGAACAAGATCCAGAACCTCGAAAGGTCCGTCATGGAGGCGCTGAGCATCAGAGACCAAGCACTGGCGTCAATGGACACGCGCCAGATGCGTGCTCATGAGGCCCACACGGCCAACCGTGAACTGCGAGGAGCACAAGAGCTTTGGCAGGAAGATTTGACTCGTGCCCAGCTGGAAGAAGTTCGAGCCCTACATGCCCAACAAGCTGTGCTACCTCTGACACCAGAGGAAGAGGCCGAGAGACGCATTGCCATGGAATCGGAAGCCCGATCCGCCTTGACGGATGCAAAGGCCATCCTCAACCGAGCTCTACGAGAGCTGACAGAACATGCCCGCATGTGCCCGATTCGGGATGAGATCTTCATAGCCCCGCGAGGGCGAGTGTGGCACCTCAGGCCTGACTGCAGAGTCTTGGTCAACCAGGCCACCGACGAGAGGATCTACCAATGGTGCACGACCTGTGCATCAATGGAAATTCCGCCAAATTCAGGATCCATCCGAACACTCAAAGAACCTTGGCGGATGACATCGGCGTGCTTTTGGCCCACCATGGAGATGTTTTGTAACAAGCTCGTACACGCAACGAGCTTGTCCTCCTGCCGTGGATTATTATGGCCCTTGGCCTGCAATGCAGCATGCTGGTTTGGTGCCCGAAGGACAGGGCTGAAGTTGAACGGCCTCGTTCGACGTGTTTTCCCTTCCCCCCTGTGTGAATTGCACTCCATGCAATCATGTCAGGCCGTTCGAACCGTCGCGAGCCCGCTCGCCTCAAGCAGGGTGGGTCGCGCTACTTGGAGCGCTGGTTGCGAAATGGCCGACTTCGCGTGCGGCTTCCCTTTCGTCGAGTCGGAACCTCGTGCGTCCGCACTTCTTGATCATAGCACTTGCAATATACTAGATACCGCACTTGCTCTCATTACGTGGAAAGGGGTCTGGCAAATCACTTGAATCCACGTGCTTGAGTCGATCTCCCGACGGGGTCGAACAGTTGGTCAAAAAGGTCCACAGCAATTGAACATGAGATATACCAGATACAGTATGATTTACATGGCCCTCAAATGGCAGGATGTGTGTCCAAAGTTAAGAGGAAGGACGGTTGAAGATCTGAAGATCCCCGATTGGTACTCATACTTGCATGGTAGGATCCAAAGGTCCTTTCTTGAGAGAATCAACACGGCTCTTACCTCACTGCGCTTTTGGGAGCTTTCAAGGTAAGCTTTGGTGTTCAGCGTGTGCTCAAGAATGGTCTTGGAAATCTAGACATATCAACTCTATTCGCACGAATTGTCAATCCACCACCTGATCCTCCACATTGCGTCAGCATCCTCCCACATTTTCACGCCACCCCTTTTGCACCATCTCCAGATACCACCACGCACTCTACGTCAGCCGATACGTCGACGTTTTCATGGCAAGCAAACCATAGCAATTGCAAGTCAATCAAGCAATCAAGGCGCTCCAGTTGCTGTCTCTCAGGCCTCACTGACAATCCTTCTAGCAGTTCGGGATTGTCAAACAGACGCGGCGTTGGTTGAGCATGTGTGCACCCAGAGTGATCTCGCGGCATGCGTGGTTGCCCTTACAAACCACAACATGCCACAACTACTTTTGGGAGCTCCCAAGGTTAGCTTTCCTTTTTAGCTAGACCATCCAATAGACCAAACAACTGCAAGAAAACGCACATTATATACACCCAGAAAGATCAGAAAGCGATACAGCGATACACACACACACCAGCCACAAAAGCAATCCACAATCCACGGTTTATACGGACTCAAAAACCCTTAGGCTACATAGGCTACTGTAGAAAAAAGGCTGAAGGAATCCCCTGTGGCGGGACTGTGTGCAGACGCTCGCAGTGCCGCAAGCGTCTGCAGGTGGCGCAAATCCGCCCGCACCGAAGGTGCTGAGGCGTTTTATAGGGCACGCTTGGAATCCGTTAGTATCGTCAGTATACTATAGCTTTAGCTAGGGGGGGGGCATTTTCGCTCTAGAATCCTGTGTTTTTTCACGTTTTTGGAACCGGCTTAAAGTGCTTTCGTGCTAATGTTGGGTATCTTGAAGGCTTTAGGGATGCAAGAAATGCGAGTTTCTGCTTTGCATCATCTGTATCACCCGAATCATCTGAGCGGCGCACGAAGTCCCTATCTAATGGACGCGTCTGCGCGATAGGGACTAGAACATCCGGGAACGTGGCTGGCCCGGAGCAGAGATGAGCAGGTCAGGCCCCGGAACGGGTACGTAAGATAACCCTAGAAGTCACTATCTAACGGACATGTCTGCGAGATAGGGACTTGAACGTCCGGGTACGTAGGTGGTCAGGAGCAGAGATAAGCAGGTCAGGTCCAGGAACGGTAATATTATCTCCCGAGCGCAGCTCCCATATGGTCGAACACAACTCCAGAAGTCCCTATCTCAAGTACGCTTCCTCGAGATAGGTACTTGAACGTCGTAAACATGGTCTAACGAAGGCTCCCAAGCGACTGGAATAGCGTGAAGATATTGTCTAACCGAGCGCTCGAAGGCACTATCGAAAGGGCGTGTCTGCGAGATAGGGACTTGAACGTCGTAAACTGGTACGCAGCATAGCCCTCGAAGTCCCTATCTAATGGACGCGTCTGCGCGATATAGGGACTAGAACATCCGGGAACGTGGCTGGTCCGGAGCAGAGATAAGCAGGTCAGGCCCCGGAACGGGTACGTAAGATAACCCTGGAAGTCACTATCTAACGGACATGTCTGCGAGATAGGGACTTGAACGTCCGGGTACGTGGGTGGTCAGGAGCAGAGATAAGCAGGTCAGGTCCAGGAACGGCAATATTATCTCCCGAGCAAGCCTCCCATATGGTCGAACACTCTCAAGTACGCTTCCTCGAGATAGGTACTTGAACGTCGTAAACATGGTCTAACGAAGGCTCCCAAGGGACTGGAATCGCGTGAAGATATTGTCTAACCGAGCGCTCGAAGGCACTATCGAAAGGACATGTCTGTGAGATGGGGACTTGAACGTCCGGGTACGTGGTGGGTCCGGAGTCTCCAGTGTGCTTCCCCGAGATAGGTACTTGAACGTCGTAAACATGGTCTCACGAAGGCTCCAAAGGGAGTGGAATAGAGTGCAGAGATTGCCTAACAGAGATCTAGAAGTTACTACCGAAAGGACGCGTCTGCGCTTGAACGTCGTGGACTGGAATAGATTCCCCCCTAACGTAGCTAACCCGTTTCTGATAGTCGTGGCGACCCTTCTGCAGCACTCTGCCTACGTTTCAAAAAATGAACCCATTTCCTGCCTTGATGAAACCCGTCCTAAAATGGCTGCAGTCTTTGAGCCCAAGCTTGTTTGAGAAGGACAGCGAACCCTACCTGGATCAACAACCCCATACTGTTTGCATTGCGTGTGTTCCACCATGTCATCATCTGCCATGTTCGTTTCATACTGCAAACACCTCCCGCCTACAGATCCTTAACCGGCTCTGCGGCATCAGCCCCTAAATGGCTGCGGTCTTTGAGCCCAAGCTTGTTTGAAAAGGAAAGGAAATTGCCAGGGTCAACCGTCCCATCGTGATACCTCCGGCAGTGGTGGCGGCCCTTCAGCAGCCACGATTACTTAAAAAGGCCCTTGAACCATCGAATACCACATCATCCCTTCCCCTGATGACTCTGCTTCCCTCTGCTCCAGTTGGACCTTATATTTGCGACGTTCCAGGCGATATGGAAGCTATGTTCAGCCACGTTGAGGGAGAGCCGTATGGACGCTATGTCGGAAACTTCCTTTCATACTCACTCCCTTGGCTCCAAGAGCACAAGCAGTTCGGGCTTCCTTCTGGGACTCGGTGGATGTATTGTCCCCTTCCATCTGGTGCGGGCGGTTACCGTCGCGAAGCGACGTGAATGTCTGAGCCCACCAACAGTGAACCAATAGTGCTCAGCTCGAAGCCTCGATGCAAAGTGTTTCGAAAACTTCCCAAGGGCGCCAAACAGCAAAAACTACCAAACACCATGAGGTGTGGTGGTTAAAGGATGTCCTGGCCTCTTGCTTTGCTTTGAAAGGTTACCCCCACGCCACTTGAGTTTGACATTTTGTGGAAGGAACGTTCAAAACAAAACGTCTTACAAGTCAAGGTGCTGAGGCAGGTCCAGCGCAAGGGGCATAGGTGAACACAAGTGGAAAAGCCTTTAGCGATCTCAGAACTTACTGTCCTGAGTCCTAGACACAGGCAGAGAGAGAGAGCGAGAGTGAGAGAGAGAGAGAGTGAGAGAGAGAGAGAGAGAGTGAGCGAGTAAACATTATTTTTAGCAGGTTGGGTCCCGAGCTTTTTCCCCAAGAGCGAGGCTTGGGGATCTTAAGTGGAGCAAGTAAGTAGTGGAGCCAGGTTCCGGAGCAGGTCCGGAGCAGAAAAGTTCCAACATCCAAGTTTCCTGACTGGTTTCCCGTCCAGGTTTCCAGACTCACTACTGACTCATAGTTTGCCCCTATGGCCCGGGTTTCCCGACTCTGCCATTCGAGTTTCCTGACTCGGTTTCTTGATTGGAATGGTCTCCTGTCTCACTCTGCCTCGATAGCACAAAAGGGACAGCTGACAATGTCGGTTTCTACGCAGCTCAGCTTTTCAGGATACAGCTCAAGTTCCCCATCATTCTGCCAAAGTTTATGGCTGCGCACTTAGGATGATGCATTCAACTATTGGAATCCCATCATGCAACTCACGACCTAGGTTGGGAGGCAGCTTTCTCAGCAGGACTTTTTTCGGTACTGGAGGCGATCCGCCTTGCATAGAACAGACGCACGCCTCTGCAGATTAAAAACAAAGCTTTGTTTTGATCAAAACAAGGTTCAAGGACCTTACAGCCTTCCAATACATTTCTTGAAAGATGTTTTACTGTTCATCTATCTACTTGGGGGTCACAACATGGAGCAGTGGAACTATTGGGAACAGACCACCAGGCTGATGCGGACCTGACGGTTCGTCCAAGATGGACCATGTAAGCTGTGCCCCCCATCCATATCCTGGTCAACGGAGCACGCTCGCAGAATCACACACGCTGTGGAATCGTTCGAACATTTTTCAAGCTAAGCTGCTAGTGCTAGTGCTAACTGCCAGACTTCGTTTGTTCCGACTGACCCAAGACTCAGTAACAGCCAGGCTTGTGTGATCACTCTCAGTACCCTCAGTTGTCACTTCGCGCCGCATGTTGTTGATGTTGAACACGCTGCAAAGACTGCTCCAACTCACCCTTGGATTTGGCGAGGGAAAAAGACGGATCTGATATATATATATATACAGTATATATTTATACAGATACTATATCTACACAGGGACGCATGTTTATTCCCTGTTGAGGGGGGCACGCTCGCACAGATCCTTAGATCCTTGATTCTCAGGCAGCAGCATTTCGTTCTCAATGAGGCAGGCAATTGCTAGGTGCGGTGGTTTGACGGATTGGTGAAAGCATGCATGGTCCAGGTGACGTGCGTTGTACACCTGGCAGAGCGGCTCCGTGGCCCGATGGTCAATATCGCCAGGACCGACCTTAGCTTCCAAGTAGTTTCCATGAAGGTTACCGAAGGTTCCATGTTTGGTCGTCATGCAGGTCCATAGCTTTTGGCGGAGCCTTCAGATTGCCACTAGCTCTGCGGGAGTTCTTGCTTCACTTGTGCGCTTGACTTGAAGCTAACATCCATATAAGCCATCAGGCATCATGGGGTCGACAGCAATGCGGACAATTTCGTTTTGGCGACGGCCTGACACACCGTCAACAATCGTTTGCCGTGTTCTGACAGCTTGAACCTACTGCACCTTGCCCTCCAACCCTTGAGTCTTGAGCGTGCGCAGTGACGTCAGGTCTCTTCCTTGGCAGATGGGCAGATTGATTTGCAAGGCGCTTCGCCAGCTCTTCATATTTCTTGATGAGTCGGTGTGCTTGGAGACCTGGCAAAGAGATTGTCAACAGCACAATCTACAATTCAGTCAGGAAAAGACACTGATGCTCTTTCCCTGATGCGGGTTGAGGCAGGGGAAGCATCCCAAAGTGCAACAAAAGTCAACTTGCTGGGTGTGTTGGTGCGAACAAAGAACACTGGGCGGGGTCTGAACTAGCGTTCCCACTGGTTCAGAAACCGGCGTTTAGAGACGTCTTTTTGGTTTGGTTCGGTTGGGTTCAGTAACCGCTTTGGTCCGCAACTGGTTTTGTTGGTTTCAGGAGTTTGGCTTTGCAACTTGTTTTGGCTAGGTTCTGGGGTGCAAATCCCGTTGACGTTGGGAAGGGCTTGTTGTGAGCTGTTCAAGTTGCGAGATTTTGTGTAGGATAATTTGATTTGGATGATGTGCAAGGTTGGAGAAATCTCCCTCTCTCTCTCTCTGTATATATATATATGGATTTAGATTGATCTTGGTGTTCGTAACAGTAGCAGAGCCTGTCTTTGCCAGATGCGATTGGTAGCCTGTTTTCAACATCGCAAGTCTTTGTATGTTGCCTTTGTCTTCACTGCCGTGGGGCGCCAGCCAAATCTCGTGGGCGGCGCGTGTCTCCGCGCTCCCACCAAGCATTTGTGGCCGTAAAAGCCAGTTGAATGTCACAAATCAAAGAATGTGCCCTAGGAGAGTGAGTTGTTGCAGCCGGAGTTCGTCCAAGAAGCTAACCGACCGCACGTTCATGTTGCAACGGACTTGCTCATGAGTCACGCGTTCTATACTCTAAGAATTGTTGCGCCCCAGGAAGGGTTGCCAGCATCGGATGTGGAATGAGTCAAGAAGCACTGGTTGCCTTTGCGTCAAGCAAAGTGTGCGCAAGCTGTACATCAGTTTACTGTACTGACCACGCAAGCAGAGTAGATGCTAAGCTTGCGATCTGTAACAGCTTTAGCGTGTTTCCAAGCCCACGTGAGCGTTTTGAGTGCCTGCTGAGCATATCTGATTCCCGAGAGCGCCTGAGCGAAGGGTTCTTCTAAAGAAAGAAGGTGCGCGACATATCATCGCAACATATTTCAACTTACATCCGCGCATATCCAGAGTTGCGCATGCACGTGCACTACATGACATCGCAACTTACATCCGTAGACATCCAGAATTGCGTATCCCACACCAGCGCATCTTCACATCTGCGCATCTCTACATCTCACAGCTTGACATCCGTACATATCCAGACATGCGCATCTTCACATCTTCATGCGCCTACCTCTTTCTTTCTTTCTTTCTTTCTTTCGCCGCAGGTCAAGTGTCAAAAGGTGGAATATTGCAGTTTCAATTGGCCCACAGCAGCCTTCTCGCTCGAAATGAGGGTCAAGTGTCCAAAACTTTGGGAATATTGCGGTATCAAAAAGTCTGCGGCAAACCTCTCGCAAGTTCCCGTGGGAAACCCCATTTGCAAGGCTTGTGCTAGGTGATGAAGTGATCCAGAACAATGTCAAGACTGCAATGCCGTTGAACTGGGGTAGCAGGCTCGAACCTGGCTCAAACGACGTTGAGAATTTGCCAGATCCTATGTGCCGTCCGGAGCCTTGCAATTGGACTGTAGGCAGAAGTTTGAAGCGCTTGAAGGAACAAACCTTTTTCGAACAACGTGAACGAACCTTTCGGAGAGCAGCTTCAAAGCTTGAGCTTTTCTGAACTTGGATCCTGAAGCCAGCACTGTCGGACGTCAGATTATGTGCGAGCCTGAGATGTCTGACATCATTGTGAGGTCAGTTATGGGAACCAAGTCACCAAACACTGTCATGAAGAGAGCAAACGCCTTGACTATGTTCTATAGGTGGAATGTCGTCACTAATGAGGCTGAGTGCATCCCTTTTCATGAAACTGTGTGTTGGCGGTATGTTCAGCAGCTTGCCATTGAAGATGCGCCCGCAACCAGAGCAATGTCCTTCGTCCAGGCATTAAGGTTGGCTGCCCATATCCTAGGCTGTGACGGAGCCATGCAGTGCTGTTCATCTAGGCGAATCGAAGGTTCGGCCGAACTTCAATACGCCAAGAGGAGGAAAACATGTCAGGCTCGTCCTCTGACAGTGCTCGAAGTCACTCGTTTGCGCCAAATTGCTGCTGAGCAGTCTAGGAATGTAATAGACCGTGTGTTTGCTTCCCATGCCTTGATGGCGTTGTATGCAAGAGCAAGGAACTCAGAAATTTTGAATGCATTGAGAGCGTGTTGCATGACGCAGGCTCTCATGGGGGATATGTGCAAGTCAACACACAGCATCAGAAAGGAGCTCGGACCGCCGAAAAGAAACCCCTTTAAGTTGCCGATCATTGTTTCCGCTGAAGGTATTCGCAACCCTTCTTGGCTTTTCTATTGGGTCCAGAATAGAAAGGAAGCAGGTTTGAAAGTTGCTGGAGCATTCGAGGGTCCTCTGTTGCCAGCGCCAGCTGGGACACAAAACCTGCAATGGTCATCGAGACCAGTGACTAGCACTGAGATGACCGACTCGTTACGCGCACTTCTTGACTGTCAGGATAAGAGTTTAAGTTGCCACTCATTGAAAGCGACGTTGTTCTTGGCTTGCAAATAAATGCTGAAGTGCCAAGAGAACACAGGAGACTATTGGGAAGGCATAGCGATGCCGTTGAAGGGTCAGATGCTGTGTATAGCCGTGACCTTGCTTTTGCTCCGGTTCGTGCCTTGGAGAGTGTGCTGAGGATGGTCAAGGAAGGTGTGTTTAACCCTGACGCGTCCAGGGCCAATTTTTTCACAGGTGGGGGGAACCCGTTGATCCCAGGAACACCAATGCCGTTTGCCTCTCAGCCTCGCGCGCCTGCCATTTTCGTAGCCCCTGTGGTTGAAATGGATGAAGCAAGGGCTGAAGCCCCTGTCAAACACGAGCATCTTGACGCCCAACAGTTTGGTTCGTTGATCCCAGACGCTGTGATTGAGAACGCAACGACCTCTGAGTCGAGCGCCTCAGCAAGTGGCAGTGAAGGCGCAGACTCTGATGATGACCAGAAGCTCAACAATGAGGCTGGGAGTGGCGTGCCGAGGCCTAGCGAGGCCATGGACGTGCTGGTAAGAAACAAGGCATCGAAAATCACCCATTGCTGTCCTGACATGTTGAGGTACGCCGGGCAAATTCCGGAAGCGCAGTGGGAGGTAGTTGCTGGTCAAGTGACAAAGTGTGGACGCAACATTGATGAACGTTTTGAGATCATCAGCGTCATCCATGACTGGACAAAGAAGTGCAGAGTGTGCTACAAGAACAACAGATGCCCGAAAATTAGCTGAACTTGTTTACTTGTTCTGCCTCATGTGAGGAGGCGTGTGTGTGTCACAAGTTGCATGAAGTGGGTGGTCATGTGAAGCAGAATGACGGATGAAGGTAGAAATGGGCTGCGCGTGCAGTGTGTGTAAAAAACAGAACGCGGTGCGTTCGAGGTGTCGAACTCGTGTGGAGTTCAGACTAAGAGCAGCGTGTGCTGCGGACGTGAAGTCAGTTGCGTTAGGCTTCATGTTTTGCATGTATGAAGACATGTGGAGTCATGTCTTGTTGGTTTCCTTTTTCTTTCTTTGACTTGCGCATGTGAAGTGCAAACGCTGAGATTGGAGTGATCACGCCGTGTGCCGGCATGTAGGCTCAATGTGTGAACCAAGAAGAAAAGTCATGGTGCGTGTACAAACAATCGTTTTGCGATTGGCTTATGCGCCTCGCTTTTTTTGTGGCACCTGTGGAACAACTAAGGTCTGTTCAGGTCTGTGCTGATGTGATCAACGCCATGCATCTGTGATTTTTCTTTGAACTTGAATGAACATGTGGATTACTAGTTTGATTTGCTTTCACAAAGCAAGAGAGACTTGCACTCATTTACTTTTGAATCTAGGCCGTGCGTTGCCATGACGAATATCATAGAGTCCGAAGCGTATTTTATGAGACGCATTGAAGAGGCAGGAATGTCGGATGCATCGCGTGCAAATCTGAGAACACATGGGCTGACAACTCTCGGAAAGCTCGCCTTCGCATGTGGTCAACCAGGGACCCCTACGCCGGACGACGTGTTCGAGCGTTTCGCAAATGCAACGTTAGGAGCCATGGCATCTATATAGGGGATTGCTCGACGCTCAAACGCCTTTTGTTTGAGTCTCACTGTCCTCAGTCAGTTTTTTACATCCTGAGGCCGTTGCTACTCGTAGAGTTCCACAGGTCGAGCGCGAAGCGCGCATGGATTCACTGAAAGCACGACTTCCAGGCGTCATTACCCAGAGACAACTCGAACCAGCTCACGATCTTTTAGACAGAGCTGCGCAGATGTGGGAACGCATGGAAAGAGCAGCAAGCAATTGAGCATTGACACAGAAAAGCTGCTGATCAAGGAGACGAAAGATACTCCCGATCAAGCTGCAGGAAATGATTTGCAAGTTTTCGAAGCATGAGGCGCAGAGGCATCGCCCTCGCCTTCGCAGATATCATGTCACGGGACGCCCGCGAAACTTATACCCAAGAGCTTGTCCAGCGCATGCGCGCCGAGGCGCCAGCAGGATACGTTCGTCCAAGTACACAGCAATTGCTCAAAGCAATCGGCAGTGTTTCACAAAGGTCATTCGCGGCGGTGTCAGCGTTCGTAGAAACGGCGCAGGTGGATTAGACATGGACAGAATGTTGAGCCAAGCACTTAGTTCTGCCGAAGTCAGCTTTCATTTGCTGCCGCTGCGGAAGCCTGCAAACCCACCAACCTGGATAGGAGACAAGCAGAGTGAGTGGCGTTTCCAGCCCTACTGGAACCAGAAAGGTAAAGGTAAAGGCAAACCTGAGAAGGGCGGCAAAGGAAAAGGCAAAGGGAAGCCCAAAGCCCAAACCTTCCTGCCTAAAGCATTGCAAGGAAGAGACAATGTCGGTATTGACTCGCATGGCCGTCGCATGTGTTACAACTTCAATTTAGGTAAGTGTGACAAAGCCGCCGCAGGAGCACAGTGTTCGAATGGATTCCATCTTTGTTGCCGAAGGGATTGCCACGCGCCGCGTGCAGAGAAAGACCATGACCAACAGACATCGTCGTGACAAGTTGAGCGCGTCAGCCGCTTGATTGAGGCG